TTATGTTTTTTCGCAAGCTAAATTTAAAGTTACTCTACGCTACGCGAAAAATTGATATTTACCTCGATGAAATTATTTGGTAAATTTTTATATAGGTTGTGTTCTATTATTCACTGCGAGTACTGAAAATCTATAGTTTACATTATATATATTATACATATATACATATATATATATATATATATATATATATATATATAATGTAATTACGGAACACCTCGAGATAGTATAATAACTGAAAAATAAATCTTTCTGAGCCTGACAGAAAACTTCAAATCTAGTTTCTCTTTTAATGCTTTTCGTGTGTTATAACGTCCTCATAAAAATCACAAGATTTTGAAATTGTTTCTTCTTAATTATATATTGCTATATTTTTAAAGAGTTTCATTCATTTTACTCACGAGTTCTAATTAGTATTCGTTGCAATTCTTTTGTAAACATACTTTCATATGCCGGAACATAGTGCAGCATTTTGTAATCTGCAAATTGAACGCGAGCAGAAGCAGCTCTTCCGCATAATTAATTAAGTAGCATGCGTTAGCGGGAATTATGCCACTGCATATTATTATGCTTATCATCTCGCATGAGAAACGCAGAGACATTTCCATCGTCGGGCGGAGGGAAAATTCTTGATGACATTTGCAAATGAAATCAGGCCATTAAGGTACTGTCTCTTCCATCTTGTTCCGCACTATTTCCACAGAAGACAATGCGATGTTACTTCCGGCCTGTCCGCATTCCGCAGTTATTTTGCAGACAGATGACAGCGATATTGCCGCTGTCTCGCGATTAATCTGCATACTCGTCTCGGTAACGATTTGTTCGTCTGAGCAGAGCGCGAGAAATAAAACTTTGAAATTCACGCGTAATCAGATTCTTTCTCGTCGCTGAATTTCTGAAAAATATTGAGAAAAATTCCAAAAGTAAAAGAAGTTCCTGACTTTTTCATAAAAATTTTGAACAAATACAAATTTCGAACATATTTATAGTCTATATAATTTGCATTTATAAAGTACGTAGAAGTAATTAAAATGTGTAAATATATACAAATGTATTTAAAGTAATGATGTCATATATTGATTTGAAAACGATTAAACAAATGTAGGTTAAAAATGTATAATAGCTATTTCAATTAAAGATACTACAATTTTAAGAGATTAGGCATTTAGCAATATTTAGCAATATTTATTCCTAAATTTTTTAATTATATCCTGCGAATCCACTTCGTGGATGCGAATTCCGTTCGTACATGTATGTACATGTATGTACGTGTACAGGTGATGATGGAATTCTTCGGTATACAGTATTAAAGCAATCTTAGAAGCCTTTATTATAATTTCCATATTCGCCGCAGTACACGAGGTACTGTTCCTGCTACGATAAGACGAAGCTCACCTCCCTCACGTACCTCGCGTTGGATGCCGGGAGCACGTCTCGCAGTGACATTTGCAAATGATGTTAGACCGTATTAACGTACCATCTTCCATTTACGTGTCACTTTGCGAGAGAGACCAAGCGAAAGACCGCGTCTTGTTCCCGCTCCTTGTGTGACTTCCCGCAGCCGAGTCGAGCGGAGCCGAGCTGAGTCGAGTCGAGTCGAGTCGTTCCTAAACTAGTTCCAAGTTAATCGGTGACGGCGTTACCATTATGGTGTAGAGTTGCGAGGACGCGAGAGGACCAGGGACCTCCTGGAAAGATGGTCTAGCGGACAGGCCGCGGGAAAAGGGACGATTTGCATTTTAATTGCACCGGCAACCTTCCTTGCCGCCCCCTCGTCGCCTGACACTCGTTGTACGCGACTCCAACCAAGCTCTTCTCTCGAGTTCTTCGCTCGAGATCTGTGCGAATATCACCGACATTTTTTATTTAAATTTGCTGTTGTTAGTTGCATTTCTCGAGAGTACGAATCACATTTACGGTAATTTAAGAGGTTGATACTTCCGCGTGCTCGTAAGTGCGCTAAATATATTGCCAGATGTTGCAGCAGCGATTAGCGAAATGTGGGATGAGTGCTCACAGTCGTCGGATAATATTATTCTTGTACATCTGTTGCTAAAATCTTCCTGTTAAAAGATACTTTTTCTTACATTTAAAAAATTCATCTGTTTCAGCTTTAAATAGACTAAATAATATTTATATACATATCTATCGTGACAAAAATAATTGAAACAAAGTAACAAAATTTTTAAAACATAAGAACTGTAAGTTTCAGAACAATTCTAAAAAAAAGTTGCACATTGTAAAATTAATGACAAATATGTCATCAAATTTATTTTCTCGCAAGAATAGAGAATCAAATCGGACGTGAGAATCATATAAAATATTTTTTATGATTATTATTTTACAATGCGAAAGGATAATTATCTCTTATTTACATAGAATTTTAATTATGTTTTTCTAAAGTCTCATAAAATCTGAAGAGCATGATGGTGTCCTTTGTTTTTCGTATTTTTCTCTCTTCATTTTCGCGCGTAATTGAACGACGAATAACGGCGTGGAGAAGTTCCCGCGAAGGGATAGTCGCGAACTTTGCCGTTAAGTTTCCCTTGTACCCCTTGGGCCATTAATAAATTTCACGCAACCGGATAATCGATGATTCGCAGGCATATAATGTGAGAATGGCTGGAAGTATTACCTAATGGTTTTATTACCTAATGGTCATTATATACATATATATGTATATGTATATATATATATATATATATATATATATATATATACATATATATGAAGAAAGCGTCGTATATAATGAGAGTTGGAGTGTGCGCTAGCGATTTTTCATGCAAAAAGAGCTCGATGCCAAGCTCAAAGTGCAGAGTGCAAAAAAACGTGATCTCGTATGCATTTTCACGGCTCGCGCTCGAAAATGGAAATTTTTGGAGAAACGAACCTACGGCGTATACCCGGACGACACGCAGCGGTTGATTCCACACGCTCGGCATCTCTATAATATGAAATATGAAGGAGAAACATATATCACATTAAAGGATCATTTAACATTGATCTAAGCGTCTTGCTACATCCAAGCAAACATCCCTGCATGCCTGTAGTATAGGATGATTTGAAAATATTCTTTTTTTTTCGCTCGCTCTTCGGTACCGTTTCCCTGGCTGAAGATCATTTCGAGGTAGCCTCTTGAAATCATTCTCGCAGCTTTTTCGAATTCCATACGTACAGTCATATATACACGCATACATATCCATGGCGCGACGCGCAGAAATTTATAGGAGACGCTTGAGGACCGCCTGGCGATAAACCTTCTACCATACATATATACATGCACTTCTCTCGGGCAAGAATAGTGCCAGTAGGAAACGGTCGATTATCGTGAGAACGATGCATGTTGCACGGCAGGCAGATACGTCCGACAAATTGAGCAGGTTACACCTAGAAGGAGTCTAGAAGAGACGTAAACTAGAGACGAGAGGGGGGAGGAGAGAGAGAGAGAGAGAG